AATAACCTATCAGACATCTAATATAATAGTCACTTACCCATAGCACATAACTGTTTATGTTTGTTATGTAATATTGGGGATTGAAATCAAGGCTTTCCACTGAGTGGGTAAGCAGTCTACCATAGCCTACAACTATTTATTGTTAGTTAACATGCTATGAGTCTGATACCAATTATAACCATATTATATCATTGGCTTATTTTCAGGTACTCCTAAGTGTATAAACAAGAATTGCTGCATAATGTCTGTACTTATTATTTTTAATAAGTTGAGTTCTAATTAAAATTGTAATAGTTCCCCAAGCAGATTACTAGAGGCCTTGCAAAGTATCAATGAGAGGACAAACAGGTGGTCATTTATTCAATTTGACTACTTCAAACTAAGATACAGATTTAGTTGTTCCTAATGGGACCTTTTGCCTTAATGTTAATACCATTTAATTACAATACTGTTATGGTTGACCTCACAATTAACATCTAGATTTAAATGCAGAATACCAAGCTTGTTGTTGTTGTTTTTTATTTCTCCTAGAAATCCTTGCTTCAGAAAAGTGTGAAATGTATCCACATTTATTTATCTTTATTAACTTACTTAAAAAAAATTTTTAATGAGTGCCAGTGACTCATGCCTGTAATGCTAGCTACTAGTTGGCTGAGATCTAAGTATTGAAGTTCAAAGCCAACCAAAGCAGTAAAGTCCAGGAGACTTTCTTTAAATCTCCAATTAGCCAGCAAAAAGCTAGAAGTGGAGCTGTGGCTGAAGTGAAACACTAACATGAAGAAGAGAGAGTTCCCTGGCTCTAAATTCAAACCCCAATACCTTGCACCCACCCTCCAAAAAAAGACTAACTTATTTTGGATATTATTTATCTCTGTATCTTTTCTCTGAGTTGCTGCTGTTAAAATCAAGATGCATTTCAGACTTCTGGATTTTATATTGCTATTAGAGTTGTAAAGTATTTTTACTCAGCACAACTCAGAACTGATGATTTAAATCCCACTAATGGACTTTTAATTAGGCATAGTAATGAACCGTCTTGTCATTATTTTATTTTTAGAGGAAAGACTTCCTATATGCTGGATAGAATTCTGACATAACACCAGGTCCCCTGAACCTTACTGACTCACATCTAATAGATCCTAAATGTATTATGTTGTTGTCAGCTGCTGGATTTGTCATTTTAATGACGTGGGCCTTGGGTTTAGCAAGATGTCAGGAAACAGCATCACCATGCTACAGAAATATTTGTTGACATCTTGCTCAACAACACCTGGGGTGCAATTCTGACTATAATATCACTACTTTGGGACATTGAGCAAGTTATTTAACCTCTGTCTAAGGATTAATTGGTTAATTTTAATAAGTGCTTTGCAGTAAAAGGTGGGAAGTGCTCTGACTGCTAATAGTGATAATAAAATTGTAATGTAGCCTTTTATAAAGCATCAGTCTACTGTATACTATGATTCTATTATGTTTTCAATTAAAATATGAGCCAAATAAATTCACCCTTCACAAAAATATAAATTTCTATAATAAATACAAAATTCTACAATAGATTTTTACAAAAATAGTTCAATATAAAACAATCAGAAGGGGAAATATCCACCATGTTGGATAATAATGTGCCAATTGGGAACAAAGAGAGTAAAGACATACATACTTGCATGAAGTTAGCCACACATACATACCGGATGATAAATTTTGTACGCTAACTTGGTTTGTTTTCATTAACTTTTCTTCGGTACTCTTCATTATCTGTGTGGCTGCTTATTTATTTATTGACAAGTGTCATTGATAGATAAAGTTTCAAAGAGGCTCCATAATAGAGGAAAATGCAGTGAACAAAAATGCAAAGTAACATTATTCGGAGTCAGAAGAAAGAAAATGAAGTCGTTATAGGAAAATTTAGAGGAAAGAAATGTTAATTCTAATAGAGAGTACATGAATAATTTTGGAAAGAAATGCCTGCATGTGTATAGTCTCAATGCCAGAGAGGATGGCATCACCTCTATTGATATAGTTATGCATGTTGTCTTTCTAGAATTAAGGACAGGTTACAAATTTAGAATGGACCAGAATGAGAATCTATGCTTGGTGTTGTTTATTCCTATCCAAGTCTTTAGCACTTGTAAAACTGATAGAGTTGTAAAGCAACAAGAAATCATGAGTCCTTATACAATGACTACTTTTGCAGTCAATGTACACTGTGTAAAAAATGAACAATGTTACTTGTAGATAGGGATGGGGGGATAGGGAAAATGGAGAACAGCGGACGTGGTGGCATTGTCCAGGAATCACTGTACTCATAACCTGACTTTTGGGATCATAATCCCTTTGTACAGTTAGTTAATATTCAGAAACAAAAGCACAAGCTGGGCACCGATGGCTCACATCTGTAATCCTAACATCTCAGGAGGCTGAGATCTGAAGATTGAGATTCAAAGTGTGCCCGGGCAGGAAAATCCATGAGACTTTTTTTATTTTTTTGGTTGTGGGCCTTGAATGCTGGGCCTGGGCGCTGTCCCTCAGCTCTTCAGCTCAAGGCTAGGGCACTACCACTTGAGATACAGCACCACTTCCGCTTTTCTAGTGGTTTATTGGAGATAAGAATCCCATGGACTTCCTGCCCGGGCTGGCTTTGAACCGCAATCCTAGGATTGTAACCTCCTGAGTAGCTAGCCACCAGCACCCTGCTTGCATGAGACTTTTTAAAATATGTTTTTATTGTAAAGATATTGTACAGCGAGGTTACAGTTACATGAGCAAAGTAATGAGTACACTTCCTATCAAACATTGTTGCCTCCTCCTTTGGTTTCCCCGACCATCCTTTCCCTTCTACCTCCACAACTATCACCTCCCTTCCCCCCTAAATTGTAAAGTTCGTTTTCAGCATGCCTTCTTGTACATCTCATTATTAACAATAGGTCAACCTATATCCTTATTTAAGCATTTTGTTTTTTCCTTTCCCCTCCCCAAATTAGAGAAATGTATATACAAGATGCAGGGAACTGACTATCAAATACAGTGTAAACAGGGGTTATACTGTGGGGGAGGAACATACAAAGAAACAAAAAAAAATCACATGGTAAATTATAAATATGTTAGAAACAATTGCAAGCAAGCAAGAAAAAACAAAACTTGTGTCCCAATCTTGGGATTCATTTTGCTTAACATCATCTTATCTGGTCATACCGTACATAGTTTTTGGCCTTTTCTACTTTCCCAGACATATACTAGTTATTGCAAATAAGGGAAACAAGTTAACCACTGGAAAACCAGAAATGGTTCTGTGGTTCAAGAGCTCTTGTCTTGAGCTGAAGAGCGCAGAGACAGCTCCTAGGCCCAGAATTTAAGCCCCACAACCAACTAAAAAAAGAGGGAGAGAGAGAGAGAGAAAGAAACAAAGATGTCATAAATAAAAAATAGAGAAAGAATAAAGTTGAATGCATGGCTCAAGCAGTAGATCAACAGCATCAGAGCATCACAGCAACTAGAGCAAGTGGGAAGCCCAGAGTTCAAACCCCAATGACCCTCCTCCCCACACACACCTAATAAAACAAAAGTTAGTCTTTAGGCTATGCCAGGCACTCACAAATGCAATCCTTGTTATTCATGGAGCTAAGACCCAAAAGATCACAGTTGAAAGCAAGCCAAGGTTGAGGCGTGAAAGAAACCTTCAAAAAAATGCGAGCCTAGGGGAGTGGTTCCAATGATAAAAGAATAGTTCAACAGGCAACATGAAGTCAGGAAAATCCTGACTTCAAATTCTGGTACCAATTTTTTTTTAAAAGTAAATTAGTGGTAGTTGTGTGTTGTGGTATGAGTGCGGGTGATACGATAGAAGTAGTCTGATATGATTATGGACACCTGTGTAACTAGAACATATGTTTTTAAAAGATTGACATTTTTAAAGAAGAAATCTGGACCACTGATAGAAAAACAGTTATTGAGCTGGGGGTATTGGCATTTATAGATACCAAGAAGAGCCTGGCCCCACACAAGAAGAATAAACTTTCAGAAACAAAAAAGAAATTGAAAATTAAATTCTTTTACAACTTTGGTAGATGTAGCCACATGCAATATCAGGGACAAGGCATTTTGATTTCTTCAGATACTCCAGTGAATGCAGGTTAATTTTTTTCTATTGCATATGCTTCATAGAATCCTCAGAAACTGAGGTTAGGCTCTTTGAGGTCTTCAAAAGTTCACAAATCATCTGTAGATAAAATACTAAGTATTGTGTTTTAAGGTTATGTGTCCTGAAGTTGGATTCACTAGGTTGAAATATTGGCTTCATAACTGTTGTCTGACTGATATTCAAAGGCTCTCTCTCCTTGTTATTGTTTTCAGTAAATAAGAAAGAATAAAACTAATACCTAGAATGCTCATAAGATTAAATGAATTCATATAACTAATGAAAGAAAATGAATTATGAGCAGAGTCTCTAAATACAGAGTTCAACAAATATATGCAAAATGGAAAGTCATTTTTATTAAAAATAAAATATTTGATAGTGATGGCTGTTTTATTACATTTTGATGGTAAATTGGGGAGTTCTTGTAATTTGAGGACAAGGAGAATGGAAGTGGCAAACCTTCAGAGAATACCTGCAGCTCTATTTTGGGAATTCAAGTGAGACCAGCAGAAACAATTATGTTTCCCTTTAGTTGCACTACCATTGATTCCAGAGGTAGAGTTGTGACTACAGTATCCATGGATGAATTCTTCCAGGACAGTACAACAGAGAAGAAGAAGAAGCAAGAGAATTGAACATGTATAAAAGGAATGGGCCATGGAGTCTAATCTGGAAATGGGTAAGAAGGATAAAAACTCATGAAGAAAGGGATAAAAAACAATTTAAGTAGGTACTTAAGCTTGAGGGAATGAAATGGAATAGTAGGGAATGGCTGAAACCAAGAGAGCAGAGTTACAAGAAGGCTTTTCAGCGTGAACATTACACCACGCTGCCAACTCCTCCTTTGTGAGTGTCATGCACTTACAGTACTGACATCTGTCTCCAGTGTAATCAGCCGGGCAGTTGCAGTGGGGCTGATTCCCAATGGTCACAACACAGGTTCCTCCATGTTGACAAAAATCTTCACAGACTGTCTTCCCACAATTTGGTCCAGTAAATCCCAGTGCACAGATACAGGCGGGTCTTCCTGTGGGAAAAATAAAGAGTAATGAAAAATAGATCGTTAAATTTAGATGGCATAGGTTTGTGGAATTGTCACTGGATAAGAGCCAAAAGATGAGATTTCTGGTCAATGTAAGTGGATAACTTGTTCTGAAACTTGTTCTGCAACTACAAAATCTTTGGTCTCAGGTTTTCTCTTTATCAAGGAAACCTAGATTTAAAAAAAGTATCCGAAGTTTGTATTTTGGATTTAATTTCTACATATGAGAGAAAATATGTGTCCTTTGTCTCTCTGATTTACTTCACCTGATATACTTCACTTTAGGTCGATTCATTTCCTGCAAATAACATAATTAAACACAGGGTTATAGCATATACTCACAAATTAATTAAAGGATGGTATACCTATAAGAGAAGACCAATGTTGTTAATCCTTTGAAAAATAAAATGAATACCAGGAAGCTGAAACATGTTCTGAGGAGGGGGGGGAGGGGTAATGAGAATAAGGTGGGCACAGGAATGACAGGAGGAAAGGTGAGCAAGTACAATGATTATATTCAATTTATATTATGTGAAAATTGAACCCTGCAACTTGAGAGTAGGATTGGGAGGGGAATAGAGGAGAACAATGGAAGAGGTTTAACTAGATCAAATATACTAAGATCTTGAAAAGAATTATACTTGCATAATATATCCTTATATGTTTATTCTTATGCACTTGTTATTCTTTGTACTACTCTTACTCCATTTCCATGTCCAATCACTTTTCTTCTACTTATATGCAACAAAACAGATTGTATTTTATTAGAATATAAAATATAATCTTAGTTCCCAATGCATAGTCCTAATCTCCCAACCACTGCCAAGTCAACACAAAGTCTCATTTTACAATTGAGAAACTATTTTAAGAAGTTTGAAATAGATATAGGTTATAAAAGAATTACATTGTTAATATTAGATAATTCACTTTATTTAAATATACATATTCTATTCAGCACATTGTACTTATAGAGTATTAATTTTCTAATATTACTATATTTACCTATAAGAAATACCATGCATATTTTTTTATTCTCTTATGAATCAGAAGTTCCTATTAAATTCAGAAGTTGTATGTAAATTGTACTAGGCAGAAAATATATGGGTCATACTCCAAATTATTCTTTATTTGTTTTGTCTGAGCTAACAGCAGAATGAAAGCAAGCAGTTTTTAGGTATTTTGAACCTAGCCCTGTAAATATTTGTAATGGGAATAATTCTCTAATTCCTAGTTTATCAATGAATGGTGATAATGTAATGTGGAAGAACTAGTTCTAAAAAATGAGAATGAGAATTTATAACATTGTAGGAAAGAACAAAAAAGAAGAAGAAGAAGAAGAAGAAGAAGGAGGAGGAGGAGGAGGAGGAGGAGGAGGAGGAGGAGGAGGAACAGCAGCAGCAGGAGGAGGAGTTCTGTCATATACAAGCCTCTTCTAAACAGAACTCAGTATTACTTGTTGACTAGCATTAGAAAGCAGCCATTCATCTTGTCTACCATTGTTAATATGGAAGCATTGTTAAAAATGTAGGAGAAATGGATGTGTGCAAGAATAAGATTTAAAGCATGAAAATGGTATAATTTTCATCTGCTGCACAGATTCTATACTGAAGCACATGCCTATGTTTTCTGAAAAGCATTCCAAAGTGAAGTAAACAATTCCAAATTTAAAAAGGAACATAACTTACCTATCCTAAAGAATAAACAAATTGAAGCTATACAATAAATAATGTTACTTTGAAAGGATTCCACAAAGTCAAAAATACTTTAAAACCATAAATAAACTAAGTAATGTATATTATTGTAGTGAATAGCATTGTTACAATTTATAACTTATAAATTATATTCAATTCATTCGGTGTGAGATAAATATCTTTTCTTAGCCTGAAGGAGCAGGTAAATTCTATGTACCTAACTAGTTTAGTATGTTCAGTATTTCTGCTGCAAAATAATTTCTTATTGATTTTAGTTATTTTTTTTCAGTTTTGCAGTCACTGACATTGAACCAAAGTATCTTCTGTTGCTCATTAGTGGTGAAAAATAAAGATACAAACAGGAGAACAAACATCAGTATTAAGCAAAGAAGTTGATAATTTTAAAACATGGTTACTAATGGAAATTAGAGCTCAGAACAAAAGTTTTAATTCCATTTCTGCAATAAGAGCCTATGAATGACTTACTAGGGAAATAGAGCATATATCAGTGGCACTCATTAGGCAAAGACAAATATGAAATAAATAGTGTGTGGAGAATAGATGATAGCAAAGTGTTTTAGAACAATCGGAACTAAGAAGTAGGATGTGAAAACTGTAGATACATAGCTTTCTCTCCTACGTTTCCAGTTTCTTTTAATAATGACGAGTGAACAAAAGGAAATGAAAGAAATTTTGAAAGAGATAAACAGTATCTGAGGAAGCACTTGGAAATTCTTCCACCTCAGTAACTTGGGATGTGACTCTGTGCTTTCATCTATTCTACAGCTGTTTCAAAATGAGGACAGAGTGACCAGGTTCTTCCCCAGCTAGCAGATGTCCCACATCATTTAGAGTCCAGCTGAATTATTTTCAAAAGCTTCCTTTTTTCTTCCTTTGAAGTAAAGATTTCTTTTGGATGAGTGAAAAATTTCATATTCAGAGAACAATTATCCAGCCGAAACTCTGTGGTGATACAACAGATCTTTTGTTTGCTGATGGGAAATAAACCATCTGTTGCAGAATTGTATAACAGGTTCTTTCTAATATTTTCAAGAATCTCTGTGGGTGCACCCTAACAAGTTGCACTGGACTCATTTATAAAGAGTTTTGAGGGAGTAGAATTTGATTGTGATATTTGAAAAGGAAACAACAGTGTTTGAGTATAGATTCACAGTAGTCAGAGAGCTAGGGAGTTGATAACCTCCATGGAGAAAACAATCTAAAAGTATCCATATACTGACCAGAGGATGGAGGGGGAGGAACTGTTTCTGAGCTATAAATCAGTCTAGTTTCTATAGCATCCTCAGTACAGACTGTAAGAGTTTGTGTGCATTTTCAGACTGCCTGGATATTCATAGTCTTTTGCTACCAATTAATCTCTCTTCTTTGCTTATATATTCCTGTATAAATTGGAGATAATAATAATACCTAGTTCATGATAATGTTCAGAATTACTCATCACTAATGAGATTGCATTTCCAGCTCTATCATGCTGAAAGAGAGTATATAATTATATTTAGCTCAGATTATTCCTATTCTTATTGACTGACATTCACTATTTAGTTTTATTCACACAAGTACAATAAGACTTTATGCAAATCATTCCAAATTTTTACTAATTGCACACTTTCCCTCCATTATTAAAGGAAAAATTCAATGTATTTTTTATTCAGGATCTGATGCTTAAATTCAGGGCCACACTTTTTGTTTGGCTTTATTACCTAAATCTTGTGCCCTACCGCTTGACCTACACCTTCACTGCTGGCTTTTTGATGTTTAAGTGAAGATAACCATATCATAGTCTTTTCTGCCCAGTCTGACTTTGAGCCAGAATTCTCAGACCTGAGCTTCCTAAGTCACTAGGTTATAGGCTCTGTCATCAAATTTCACCTCAATTTTTTTTCATGTGAGTGACAGAACAAAGTTACAATTCTCATCAACTTGACTCTGACCTCAACATTTTCAAACTGTGAGGACTAGGCCCTCCATACTTCTTTATTTTCTAGACATTCTTGAATATTTTTTAAAAAGTAATAATGTACAATAAAAGCAAAAGAATCAATATGTGCCAGTGCATCTGCATAAGTATGAGGCTTGGTAGATACTTTTATTTTGTCAAAAGAAACGTATTGCTTCCAATTTCTACAAAAGATTTATAAAGTAAAATATTCAAACATAAAAGAACATTCCAATCCTTCACTGGGGTTATAGCTGGTATTCTTTTTTTTTTGCTTTACAAAATATAATATCTTAATGTATTTTATTGATGTGTGTTTTAAGGAAAGAGGCTAAATTTATGGATATGAACATTTTGCTTGTACAAATGGATTCTGGTGTGAAGGAAAGTTTGGGGCTGGGGGCTGGGAAGGTGGCTCAGTGGTAGAGCACTTGCCTTGCATGACTGAGGCACTGGGTTCAATTCCTCAGCACCACATAAGTAAAATGAAAAAAGCCGGAAGTGGCACTGTGGCTCAAGTGGTAGAGTGCTAGCCTTGAGCTGAAGAGCTGAGGGACAGTGCCCAGTCTCAGAGTTCAGGCCCCATGACCGAAACCCCCCCCCCACAAAAAAAAGAAAGAAAGTTTGGGGATGGTGGAGGAGAAGCTGGGGATTAACCAAGCTCTTGCTTAGAAACCAGTTTTAGTGTTCCAGTGAAAAGTCCAAGGCTAGAGAGTCACACATGCCATCATAGTACAGAGAGTTTGGCCTGAGAGGGAAAATTCAGGGAGCTTGGTTAAGGAGACAGATTCTTGCACTTGCTGGTGTCTGCAGCAGCGGAGGTGGCTGCTGCTGCCATGGCCACCATACCAACACACAGAGCCTGGGACAGAGGTGCCAGAGACAGTGTGAGAACAAATTCTACTTACCACCAACAAGAACTGGCAAGGAGAGGAAATCTTCATCCTGCTGGCCACAGCCAGTCACAGAACTTGGATGGCTCAGAAACAAAGGAAAAGGTGGGAGTACTCCACAAGACATCCTCACTCCTCAACAGTAGCAGCATTGAGAAAAGTAGCCCTTCCCCCACCACCAGAGAAGAACTCCATCTTTGATACTAACAAAGACTGGGCCAGAGCAGGTAGCATGTAACTCAGGCCTTGGAAGAAGACAAGAGCCATTCAACAGGTCAAAGGGAACTGACCTGTGGGGCTCAGCTCCACCTCTTGGGAAAGTTGCTCTTCTCACTCAATGCAAGTGACACCCTTGGCCAGGTGACTTCTTCACTGGGTAAACAGAGCCAGGGGCTACCCCACCCCTCTGTGGCAAAGGCAGCAGCCCCAGCTGCAGAGGGTCAA